GGGGTGGGGCGGGGAACCTCCAAATAACCAATAGCCTTTCACTTCGCCTTACAGCTATACATAATATAGAGGGAAACCCAAGTTTCCCTTAGGCTCTAGGTCCTAAGAAAATCTTTGTACTCAGGAGACGTCAAAGTGTTAACCTCAAGGGAAGAATACTATTTTAAGATATCTTTTTTCCTATTCTATTCCTATTTTCTACTCTTTAAACTCTCAGGATTTCTGTTTCCTAATCAGAAGAGTGAAGATTTCCTAAGCAAGATCTAAGCCTCCTGACAGCCTCAATATTCTATTATTATAATTTCCCTTGCTATAATCTGCATTTAACCTTTCCAGTCTCCATGAAAGTTTCTGTTCCCTCTAATTTCTCTCCATTGACACCCATAAACACTCTTAAGATATATTCAGAAAATCCCAATCATTTCCCAAGTATATCATAGAGACATCTAACATGTTCTCTTCCTGTACTTTCCTCAGTGGCTCGTTTATCTTCTAACATATTGCATAATTCACTTTTTAAAAAATCTTTGCAAAAAAAATTAAAAATAAAAAAAATCTTTGCTGTAGTACGTAAGTCCCATGAAAAGAGGGATTTTTGTCAGTTTCATACCCTGATCCTACATCCCAGTACGTAAAAGAATAAATGCTACTAATTATCCACAACATCTCATCGTGTCATGTTGGTTTCCCATTCATCCCATTGCCAAAGCCTGCATTGCAATGCACATGGCAACACGGCAACCAGCGAACTTCTGGCAATTAATTTTTGCTTCCAAAATTTATACAGAGCATCATTTGAAATGATGCTAGGTGTTGTATGTATGTTCGGTAATGATTAAGTTCAGAATTTGACTCTCACTTGTAATCATAGGCTGCTATGTAAAACTTCCTTCATATGTGTACCTGGCTTCTAAATTCAACTCAAATAGACTTGGAAATTTGAGACTTTTTTATTAGCATGGATATGTTTGGTCCATTATCCATTTTTACTGAATCCTCTTGTAATTAGCTAAGTTTCATATATATAATCTTGAAAATTTAGACAGCATTTAATTTTTATTTTATTTTATTTATTGGAGAGAGAGAGCACGCACGCACAAAGGAGCAGGGGAGGGAGAGGGGGAGGGGGAAAGAGAGAGGGAGAGAGAAGGGGAGGGAGAGGGAGAAACAGATTCCTTGCTGAGTGTGGAGTGCACAGCCCGATGCGGGATTCTGTCCCAGAACCCTGAGGTCATAACCTGAGCCCAAGTCAGATGCTTGATGGCCTGAGCCACCCAGGCGGACCTAGACAGCATTTATCTTAAGTGTCCAAATATTATTAGAACAAAACTCACCTTTCCTATTACCTTTTGTTTCGATCAGAATACTTCTGTATATGAAATAGTTATATACAATGTATTATAGGAATTACTGTGCTGTGACTTTAATCACCTACCCAGCATGAAAACAAACGATACAAGTCGAGTGCTATGTTTGTGCTTACCCTTTATAATAATTGGTTCTCAGTTTTGAAGATCCTATCTGGTTCTCTCTTAAATGTCAAATTTCCACTTCTCTTTTTGTCTTGATGTGGGGATTCCCAACCTCTTGATAACTGCTATAGTTATTATTATTTTATTTTGTAACACCAGCCTTTTTACCCAGGTGGCATTTAAGAATAATTAAGTTGAAATTAATTGTAGTTTGAGACTTGTGTGACATTTCTGAAAACAATTGGTGACAGCTCAGAATTCTGCCAAACCACAACCAAGAATCACTTCTTTAGTTTATGTTCGCCAAAAAAGGAAATTTTCTTGCTCTGTAGTGAGGCATGATCGAAAAGGAAAAAGCAGACAGGGAAGGGAAGCGACATCCGTGGAGTGCTCACTGTGTTCTTAGCGTTCTATCAGATGTTTTCACATATACCAAATTCTTGAATCTTCTGAACCACCCGCCATCATGTGAAAGTGGTCCCATTTTCAGAGGAGGCAATCAGAACTTAGACATTCTGAGTTATTTGGCCAAGGGGGCCCAGCTGGCAAGCATCAGAGCTGCGAGCGGGATCCAGGCCAACCTTGCTCTGAAGCGTAGGGGCTTT